ACTGTCTAAAACTATACGAAAAAATAATAGAAAAAAGATTAAGAGATATAATCGAAATAGGAGAGACACAGTTTGGCTTTATGCCTGGAAGATCAACAACCGATGCTATCCATGCAATTAGGCAAATGAGTGAAAAATACAGGGAAAAGAACAAAAAGCTACACATGGTCTTTCTCGATCTAGAAAAGGCCTTTGATAGAATCCCAAGAAAACTTATATGGTGGGCGCTACGCCACAAAAAAGTTCCCGAAAAATATATAAGAATAATAGAGGATATGTATATGGGACATACAACAATGGTCCGTAGCACAACAGGTACTTAGCAGGCTTTACAATAGCCGAAGGAGTTCATCAAGGGTCGGCTCTCAGCCCACTTCTCTTCATTACAGTAATAGATGTATTAGCACAGTCTATACCTCAAACAGTCCCGTGGAATATGATATTTGCAGATGATATTGTGATACTTGCCGAATCCAAGGATGAAATGAAAGAAAGGTTAGTGAATTGGATAAATATCCTAGAAACGCACGGATTAAAAGTAAATAGAGAAAAGACGGAGTATATGGTGATAGGAGGAGATGAAACGGAGAGTATTAATATAAATGATTGGCAGATATCCGCAATTGAAAGCTGCAAATATTTGGGCTCCACTATACAAACAAACGGCACAATAGAAAAAGAGATAAAGAATAAGATTAATCAAGGGTGGTTAAAGTGGAGATCTTTATCTGGAGTGCTATTTGACAAAAGAATCCCACACAAATTAAAGGGAAAAATTTACAGTTCCATAGTACAACCAACTATTCTATATAGTTCGGAAACATGGCCAACCAAAGAATCAGACGAGAGAAGTCTACAAACTATGGAGATGAGAATGCTGAGGATGATTGCTGGGGTAACAAGAAAGGATAAGGTGCGCAGTACAAGAATACTAAATAGTTTAAAGGTAGTGCCCATTAAGACTAAGTTAATGGTAAACAGACTTAGGTGGTATGGGCACACAATGAGAAGGCCTATGAACTACATAGGAAATAAAGTTGAAAGATTGGAAGTGATGGGCAAACGTAAAAGAGGAAGGCCAAAACTTCAATGGGGCCATAAAGTTAGAGCCAATATAAAGAAGTATAAAATAGATAAAAGAGATTGTACGAATAACATAAAGTGGAGAGAGATGTTGAAGGAGCTTACCACCAGAAAAGGTGAAAGCTAAAGAGAAAAAAAAAAAAAAATTTGCTTTCATTATTTATATGGATAAATATTTTGTATTAAAAAATTATTATCTTTAGAAATGTCTTGTATTGTTTATTATAAATGACAAAATATAAAATTCAAAATATTTGTACATAGTTTGCAAATTTCAATTTAAAAATTATAATATAATAATAATAAAAATAGGAGGTATGAGGTCTAAGTCTCCCCCCCCCCCCCCCAAATAAATTTTTAGTTGAGCTCCCTAAGATTGTAAAGGCTAGTGACGCCCCTGAGATATAATATTTGTAAATTGGATAGAGCCAATTGATAAATCACAAATCGTTATTTGATTTTAGTTCAAAAGTAAAATAAAAACGGTTATTTTAAAGCAATCCTCAATTGAGTCCTTTTAAACTATTTTTTTGTTAGATGATATTTTTATTATCGAAAACCATTGGTTGTTAATTTTACACATTTTTTTAAAATATTTTTTGTTGAATGATGTTTTTATTATAGGAAATTTTTTAGCTATATTTTTAAAAAAGATAAATAAAAATGAGAAGGACAGGATAAAATTTAAATAAAGGGAAGAGCAAATTGGGTAAAAAACTTTATCGATTATTAAGATGCCGTGCAGATTTGTAATTTAAATATTTTTTCCAATTGTTTTTCCTATTTAGATCGCATACTTTTATGAGGTATAAATTTTTTAACAGATGCTTCTTTCACAATGGTCACTTATAAGCTTTATTTCTCATTACATATTATATGAGCTTACAATTTGATTTTTTATTTAAAATGTTTATTTTACAAATTTAAAATATAAAAATGTATAACAAATTATATATTCTATATATTTATAAAAGGAAATGCTTGAATAATATCTTCTAAAAAATTTTCTCTCTTCTTTAAATAAATATATGTTGCTATGTAATCTTCCATAAACTGAGACCTCCCAGATTCATATTTTGTTTTGAGGTCACGCCAAAGACACTCTATGGACTTTGTATTTATGCCTCTATTAAGCTAGTCCACAAAAACTTTTATAAATATTTTAAACATTTATTCTCACTATTAAAAAAATTATTAAAATTTATTTTTAAAAAAATATTAAAATTAAAAAAAATCATTAAAAAAAATTGTAAAAATTAACAACCAATGGTCTTCGATAATAAAAATATTATTTAACAAAAAAATACTCAAATTAATAAAATTCAACCAATCATATAACAGATAAATAAATATAAGATAACCAATGGTAACTATGACTCATGAACCAAAATCTTATCAATTTTTTACAAAATTATATCTCCAATAAATCTAACTAGAATTAAAAACACTACTTAAATTTTAAAAAACTATACATTTCCCGTATTATTATATAATTTTATATCAAATTCATTGTTTAAAGAAAAGGTAAATTATTTCACTTTGCAAGATATGAATTCTAAACCTCGGATTGCTAAATAGACATTAACAGTAGAACTAGATGAGCTAATAGAATAAAAATTTTTTAATTTGTATATATTATAAGTTAATCAAATGAGATTAGTTGCTTATTATACCATTATTATATCAGGATGTGGTAATGTATACACTTTTATATAAAATAAATAAAATTTTATTTGTGCATAGAAACTAAATTTATTACAGAAAAATATATTAAATAATATATGTATTTCATTTTACTAATCAGTAGTGTTGTTAAACAGCTCGATTTGAACTTATTTTTAAAACGGCTAACTCAATATCTTATCCAGAAAATTATTACGCAAGTCTGGAGATTTTGGTTATAAGCGGCCCAATGATTTAGACATCTATTAGCAGAATCTTGAAGCTAAGGCAATATTTTTCTGGCTAAAATATTGAGTTAGCCGTTTTTAAAAATTAGCTCAAATATTTTAATTACACCACTATATGGAATAACATCTTTATTAGTAAATTATGTTATTTACTATTCCATTTTCTCTCTTCTCTATTTAGATCTTAAACAAAAATTTTGAACATTTAAGACCCATATTTAAAAAAAGACGAACTTGTTTGTAAAGACAAGCCAAATTAGGGTCTCTTCTTAAAGCAATTAAGTATCCAAATAAACCTATCTAGGACACAGCCTAAGAGTTTTATGAGAATTTTCTTAGACTTTAAACCACAGGGTTGACGATAGGAGATACAAAAATGATAAATAAAATGTCTAACTATATTAATAGATATTTGGTTGTAATATAACCCTCCTTGAGTGATACCGATCATCAATTCACTTATTTTCTATCTTTTAGTTAAAAAGAAGAAAGAAAATGACGAATTAAATAATTAATTGGACCTTCAAAAGTGGGGGAAATACATAATTAAGTATCAATCCCTTTCCGATTCATTCTAGTCAGAGTTCGAAATCATGATTTTTTCTTTAAAATAATATGATTTATTTGATTAAATCGGTAAGACGAGAACCATATCCCTATTTTTTAATAAAATTTTATTATAAAATACAAATAATCTTAAATATGACCTGGAGGAAAATAATTCTTGAGGCAAAGTTATTAATCAATTAAGATAAAGAATGGTAAATATGTGTATTATTAAATATACAACAAAAGAGGGTAAACGAACAAAGATTTTATATTAATTTATAAAACATATTGGACTTTAAAAAAGGAAAGCAAAGTAATTGTAATGAAATAATTTGATATGAAAAAAATATTAATAAAAAACATTTGATTCCCAAATAGAAATAAAAATTTAGTAAAATTTAAAAAATAAAAATGTAATAAAAAAATCATAAAAAGTTAAAAAATTGTTATGTAGGATGAAAAAAAGGAAAAAGAATTGTCAAAAATCACAAAAATAGAGAAGAAAAGAAAAATAAATAAACAATTTTTAAAAAGATAAAAAAGAATAACCATTTTCCCTTTTTTGATCGGGCCTTTTCCTAAGCCTTTGATACTTTTACTTTTTTGAATGGGAAATCCTGTATGTTCAATTTTATTTTAACCACTTTACCCTGATGCCTAGCTTACCCCTGGCGAAAATGGAATACTACACAAAATTAATCATAGCTCTTAAAGTATTATAGGTAAAAAGCTAAACTTATTTTTATTTTGTAGATGAGGGATTTGGCTACATATATATCTATAATTTGTTCTCCTTTGTTTTAAAATTTTATGGTAAAAATACAAATTACCAATCATTTTACCCTGGTTATCCCTATTTTTTATTAGGTTAAAAAGTTTAATAACATAAAATATGTTATCTCATCTTTTTTTTCATTCCTATAGGTGTAATATTGCACAATAATAGTAAATTTAAAAAAAACATATAGATGGAAATGTAGTAAAAATTTATTTTCAATTGCACACCATTTATGAAACATATGCGTGATGCTAATATGGTTAGAAACTTAGTTAGAAGTCCGGGCCTCGAGATATTACAGTTTTGGTTATTGAGAATGGAGGGAAAAGTTTCGGACTCGCAAAAAATGACGCATAAGTTTAATTTAATTAGTTTCTTACTTAAAGATGTATTAATAACTTTTATCTGTAAGATTGATAACTCTAGTTCTAGTATAAATATAATTAGTGGAACAATATTTTTTTAAAAATAGACTAACCAAAAACACGACAAATATTTTAAATATGATTTTGCTTTTGGTTATATTTCTATGAAATATATTTTTATAAGAATCAACTTATTCCTAATATAAAGCACCAATTAGATTATGAATGTCTCTAACAGGGTTAAATCAAGATAATAAATATCATCTTGCATAAATATTAAGTATTATTATAATTTAATCGATCAAATTTTTAAAGGTGTTTGGGATTAATTTACACGTTAACGCTTCCTTCACAGAATCAAGCTTTAAAATGTTTAATAGTGTACCGTATCGTAATGTTGACATCTTATTCTCGGACACAACGTTAAAATTAGTGGATGTCAAAGAAAGAAATACATTTAGATCATACCTAGGTATAAGTTTTATATATTATAGAATAAGGGTTTTAAAAAGTCATATTTTCATTAAAATTTATTCAAGCCATAAAAATTTCTGTATAAAGTGCCAATTGAATTTAAATAGTATCCTCTTTTAGATTTAAAATACTCATATAATATTCAAATTATTTTAACCATAAGGAAGTGATTATCTTAAAGTGATAGAAAATATGAGAAGGTGTGATGTGAAACCCATAATTTGGTGTGTAATATCGAGGAACGAATTGAACAAATGCGAAAGGATGCGTCTATCTTTCAAAGCCAAGGATTTTATACCGGCTATCAAATGCACTCAAGGGAAATCGAAAAATCATTGCATGGATATGATTGCCAATGGGGATGCTACTATGTCGCTCTTTGAGGCAGCTGAAATCTACGAGGCAGGAAAGTAAGAGAAATTATTTAAAGACCCTTTAATTCCGTAAAAATTTAGTCGCCACAAAGGCCAAGGGACTAATTAGATTAAACTGATTAATTCGGTTAAAAAGGAAATTAATGCGATATTTGGTGGGTATACATTATTTGGAGAATATGACACGATGTTAATATTCAATCATGGTGGAACTTAAAAAAATATGATAATTATTCTTTTTTAATTGGAATACTTAAGTTTAATGTATATTTATTTTATAATTATATTTCTGGTTTATTTTATTCCCATAAACATTTTTTTCAATTTTGTTATTATTGAAAATGATGAATACATCAAAACCGAGTTCTAAGCAAACTCTAAAAAGGTCCGTCAATACCAATACAAATATACATTTTTTTTAAATGTATTCGATACCGATATTAAAAATGACATATTATCGATTTAATTTTGATATAAATTTTTAGGGTTGGAAATTGGTTATTAATTAAAACAAATATTTAATTCGAGAGCTTCGGAGGTATAAATTTTGAGCCCTGTCGTCAGTCTGAATTTATCCCAGATTTTCAAAGTCATATCATTTTTCGTTCGGGTTACTAATAAATAAATGCTTTTAAAATTTTTATCAAGATGAGATCACCTTTTAACTAAAAACATTTTTGGCGACATTGAATAGGTGCACTACTGGTGAGCTAAACAGAATTGTAGTTATTTTATAAATAATTTTTAATGTGTAGAAAATTATTAAAAGATAAAAATCTTTAATCAGCATATACTACAAAAAATTATATTTAAATCTGTATTTTAATCAGTAATAAGAAATCATTATTTTAAAATTTTTAGTAGCTTGAATTTGAGAACTGGGAAAGTTAATCTTATAATTAATATATTTTCCTGATTAAAAGCCAGCTTTTAAGTGATAAATGTAAACCCTTTTTAAGTCCGTAAATTGTCAAAGTTATATAGGAAACTAATTATATTAAATATACAAATAATGCAGGGCTATAATAATAATATTTAAATTTTAATTCTTCCTAAAATAGTATAGCAAATTTTCTCGCGCGCTTCTTAGATGTTTTAAGCTTTTCAAGCAATCTATACAACTTTAATTATCATAACGTAAAACATCAAATTTAACGGTATATAATCTTTGATTTTTTTAAAAAGGTTAGATTTTATATGATCAAAACTTTAAAACTTGGAGATCTATTTTCGTGATAACTTTATTCATGTTAAAAGAGGAATACCTTCACATTTTTATTTAAATACACGCAAAAGTAAATTTTAAATATTTTAAGAAAATTATATATACAATTTAAATAGATTATTTCTCATTATAAAATACAAAAATGATTTTAATTCCTGGTTACAAGCGTAGTTATTTATAATGCAAGAAACATGTTAAATATGATGCAATTAGTATAATATATTCAAATTTTGGAAATATTTTAACTCAGATGCATTCTCATATATTTACTCTAACGATTTAAAGGATAAATATTAAATATTTTAGAAATATTTTGATGATCTAAAATGAGCATGAGCGCCCACAGCAGAGTGCAGTTGCACTAATCTGAAAAAAATTCTATTTTTAAAAATTTATAAGCTAATTAGATTAATAATTAAATTGACCAATTTGAGGATTAAATATTATGGAATTATATATATTTTTTAAAATAATTATATTAAAAGATTTGGACCATCTAAGAAATATAAAATAAATGAAACTCATAAATAAAAAGGTAATATGATTTGATTTTAAATTTATAATGAAATAGTATTTTATTATTTTATTTATAACAATTTTCAGAGTTGTTAACGCTTCTTTTTAAAATTAGTTAGCTCCCGCTCCTACCTTTTCAAAAGAAGCTAGCTAAATTTTTAAAAGGAGCTGGGTCCTGCTCCAAGTAATGGAGTGCCACTCCATAGCCTCTCCTTTGATTTTCATTTTGTTTAGAAAGTACACGAAACAAATCATATTTGTTTAACAAAAAAGTTTTAATATAAAATGATATATTAAAATATTTATAATCTTTTATTAGCTTTTAAAAGTAATAAATTTTCTAAATTTGATATCTAACAAACATCCATGCCTCTCCCCTAAACCTATTTAGCTATACAAAACATTCGCTCAACAGGACCACTAGAGGGAATATTTAAAATATATGTCCAATATATTCTTTCTGATGATCAATTTCATGGAATCCTAAAAAAATTCCCATTAATTAGAAGACAGGATGGATAATAGCCGCAATGATATTTCCATCATTATAAAAATTTGAAAATCTGCAATAAAGTTATTTAAATAAATAATTTACTTTTTTACTATAAACTATTGATACAGATTACAAGAGACTCTACAAGAGGTTGGCTAAACTACTCTAAATTTGTTAAGTCGTTTATTTTTGATGTAAGTTTAGAAATGGTTGGAGTTAAGATATTCATATCCATATGAAGCTCCCCTTCAAGGATTTTTAGAGCTTTTGCCAAAGGCTCTATAACCCAAAATTTATCAAGTTTCCAAATTGTTAAAATAAAACATTAAATTGTAGATCAAAATAAAATAAGAAAAAATATACAAAAATAAAATTAAGATTAAATAAAATATAAATTGATTAACATAATAAAATGTATAGTTTTAATTTGGATATTTCAATTCAATTAAGTAAAGCAATTAATAAAAGTTAACCAAGTTTATAAGAAATAAAAATATTTTAATTAAGTTTAGAAGAAAAAAATGTATAATAAAGGAGGTTGAACAAGTAATGAGCAAATTAAAATAAATATCAAAATATATTTAAAAAAGCATCATATCTAACCCAAATTAGACTAATGAATTGCCCAAAAATAATTATAGACATTATAAAAAAAAATTAATCTAAAATAAAACAAAATATAGTTTTATCATTTTGTATTTAACAGATAGATTTTGTACTTTTAGATGTTTTTTTAAGTTGAAGCCGCTGACTTTTGAAAACGATATTTTTATTTACACATAATAAACATTTGGCCCTAATATTCGTTCCATTAGGATCATTAGGATCTAACACTTTTAGAAGAGAAAAATATTTTTTTGTATGATGGAAATTCGATTTCTTTTTCTATAATATCTGGATCCATAATATCAAAAACTATTTTTTTATCATATATCTATAAAATGAATATTAATATGACTTACAAAGGCTCTCCAGGGGCACCGCTTCTATAGCGCCTTCTTAACAACTCTGACAATTTTTTTAATTTTATTATTATCCAAATTTATTTTAGAGAATACAACATTAAAATTATTAGTTATTTATATAAAATCTATTATATAATAATTATTTATTTGTTATCAAAATATGTTGCTATAATATAGATATTAGATACAATATAAACGAATAAATATTTTAATTAATGATATAAATTATAAATTTACAGGAAAAATCAATTTAATTCACACAGAAATTTGTATTTGAGAAAAGATTTTTTTTTTATATAGATCAAAATCGCGAAAATAAATGAGAAAAAAAGGTATATATATTTCTTAATTTGAAAAAAAAACAATGAAGGGAAGGGAAAAAAGATCTAAATCATTCCGGCTGCTCGGGAAATGAACCCATGAAGTATATGAAATTAGATTTTACAATCTGAATTTCTATGGGTTGACATAAGTAGACGCCTTCTTTTGGGTCTCCTGATTTAATCCTTATGGCTATGCCAAGATTAGGTCATGGCTTCCAAAGGATATTAAGATAGTAGTTAGTGACAACTTGTACGAATTTATATTCATCAGTAATATCCACTAATTTGTTCGTTTTAAAATCTTTTGTGTTTAAGATGTTTTATTGTTGTTGGAGGGTGAAAGGGGGTCAACACAGGAGAAATTCTACTGTAGAAATAGGCAATTCTCCCAAGAAATTTGTGTAATTCCATCGGGCCGTTACCCATAAGGGAAAAGACCTAGAGATTCTAAAGTGGCAGAAAAAACATCGGACTTTAAAGCCCGTTATTTGAGATCATTGCATCTGATATGCCGGATTGAACGTCCACTGCTAAAGCACTGAAGGCAATGCTTCTTGCACTTGGCGCACTCATATGAGACTGAGGCTGACACATTTAAGGTTTGGCAGCTCGAGGTCAAGATTTTTAGAGGGAATGGCGTCTAGGTATTCACACCCAGTGGTTGAGATAAGGCATGATCTTTATAAGGGTCGGAAAAGGGTAATCAAGGGACTTTGCAATAATCGGATTATCTCAATCCTTTCTTTTATGAGAGTCTGGAAGTTGACATTCATCGCCAACTTAGGCTTTCCATATAATATAGGCTTCGTCAAGGAGCGTATCTGGCAAGGATAGGTGATCAGTTATTATTTTGGAGCTTGCCAATCTGGACAAGATGAAACCACTGATTGATAACTAATGGTGATTGTAATCCTATACCTCCTTTATTTCAAGGGAGAGGGGCTTGATGCCACGAATTGGAATTAAATTTGTGATTAGTTATTTTTTCCATAATGTTTTTTATTCTGGATCAATATGCTTTCAAAGGTTCAGGATGTTTAAAAATAGCCATTGACCGCAAAGCATAGATGGTCTTTGGTATATTGAAAAAATTTTATTAAAAAGAAAGATTTATGTGAAATTATTAGATTTAGCTTGGAAAAAGGTTTCAAATGCTAAGTAACCTCCAATTGTTGAGTCACGATGTGTTAGTTCGTAGGCCATAACAATTCGTTTTGGAGAAGGCCTATGTCTGGCTCATCTGTTTATAAAATTTATGGCTCTCTTCGGGACTACCACTTATAATCCCGTATCTAGCTGACAGCTGCTTTTAATTTTTTTTTACTAGATTGTCTATCCCTTGACAGAATAAAATTGAACCAAGTGGATCACCCTGTTAAATTCATTCAGAATCCCCATATTGTAGGATGGAGGAAATAGCATAGCAATTTAAAATGTAGCTGGATTAGCACGGGCTATAAAGGATTCGTTTTATTGTGTTGTATGCATTGCTGAAATCAATTTTAATTAGGTGTTTGTTTAGTGGATTATTTTGAAGATAGATGTGGGTTATATGAGCGACAAACTCACAGGAGCCTTTGATACCAACCCCTAGTTAAGTTGAAGTGAGAATCATGTAGATTTTTTTTTTGATACGAGTCGAGACTAGTTTTGATACTAATCTCCTGAAGAGGGTACCTATGGCAATTGGGCATAGGTCTTTGTGGGTTTTGGAGAAGCGATTAATTTTGCTCCAAACAGAATTGGTTGTGCGAAGATAGGAGTCACCATTAATATCCTGTTGCAGAGGATAGTTACACTGTTAGTTTGAGAGCTTAGAGGGATGGTTAAGTCTAGATGGTATATCGGTTTCATGCCTTCAAAACCATGTTCAGAATTTTTTTAAAAAGTTGAGATCGCTTTTCTCACTTCCCCTGGGGTAAATTCTATTGAATAAAATGTGGGAATTACACCAGGAAATTCAGTTGCCTAATGTGGGGGGTGCTTCATAACTAATTTATTTCTTTTATATCTAAATTATCGATTTTTTCTTCCACTAAATTTACCTTTATAAAAGGATTTATGGGTAACTTAGGTGTGGAGATTATGTCCATTGAAATGTTGTCTAAATTCTTTAATCTGTTTTAATTTGTTGGGTGAGCGACAGTTTGCATTTGTCAGATGGGACTTGAAAGACTTGGAAGCTAAATAAAAAAAACTTTTTCCAATTCTTGTGTTAATAGTGGTTAAAAGGTTAGTAATAGTTTCCCTCTATGATTTAGCCGCAAGAAGCCTGGCTCCCCAGGGGTTTAGATAAGTTTGTAAATTTATCGGAGAAGAGATGGTAACTCATTCGAAGTACAGGGTGTGGCCTCATTAACAGATAAATTATTAATTGTGGAGAGCTGGGATATGCAAAGGGGATGTTAATGTTAAATGTAATAAAGAAATAGGGGGTGGATAGGATCTGTGAAAGGTGAATGATGTGATAAATGACACCAATTATCACTTTTACCGTGTGTCCTTAGGGTCTGTAGCCCACAGTTTGTACATTTTTTTTAAAATTAGGTGTAGAAGGGGACATTTAAATTTATTGGAGGGGAGGGGGACAAAGTAGGAAAAGGGATTTTTATTTTACAAATAACTGAAAATAAAATTTTTAAATTGCAATTTAATTGTTCAGAAATATGAAAGAAAAAAAAAACTTTCTATGTTATTGTTTTTCTAAAAAAAAGATGGAATAAAATAAACAAATAAATATTAAAAAAATTTAAATAAAAAGAATCCAAAATAAAGCGGTGGAAAATTATCGTTAATTATTTATTTTAATTAAATGTACGTAAAGTGTTATTTAAATTATTTTAATATTAATCTATAAAAGTATCAAATAATATAGATGAAAAAATAATGAAAATATTATAAATGATGATAAACATGAGATATCTATTTAAACTTAAAAACCTTAAATTTATAGCTCATCATTTCTTTCGGAAATTGCTTTACCCATAGGCATAGCCAAAGGGAGGGGCATGGGGACATACCTCCTTCAGAAACTTGAACTTGCCTTTAATCACAAATTTCATTATAAGCTAATAATTTCCATCTACACAACCCTCACTCCAGCTTAAGTAAATAACTTTAAAATTACCTATTTTTAAAAAAGGCATTTTTATAAAAAAATGAGATCGAAAATTATTTTTATAAAAATTGAACATAGCCAATGGCCTACAATAAGTTCACCTAAAAACCTCGGCTAAGCCTATGTTTTATCTCTATCCAGGGCCGTGCAAACGGAGGGAGGCGAGCGGGGCAGCAGGCCCTGGCTGCCAAAATTAAGCAATTTGAGAGGCGGCCAAATTTTATAATTTTACTCAATTACTTTTACCTGAAAAATAAGAATATATTTTTGTATATGTTAGCGGCAATATATTTTTTCCGGCGATGTGTTATATTTTCAACTTTAAACTATTTCTTGAGCGCGTTTTTTCAAATTTAAATCATTTCTTGATCGCATTTTTCAAAAAAAATTAAAGAATCTGATTTTACTCATCATGTTTATTTAAGATTTAGATTGGACTATTAAGTGTTTAATTTGTTAAATATGATATAATATGCTAGTTTCAGACCCTTTGATCCTAAATGTTGCACAGAAGTCATTTCGTTGACCAAAAAATTAAAACAATTTTTATTTTAGATAACTCTTGTTATCTGGTTCGATATATTACTCAAGTGAATTTCGTAAGTAAGGTCATGAAAAGTGACATTATTTAATTAGAAAGAACGATTACTTATAGAAAATGTGCAAATTTTTTAGATTGTCTTAAAGATAACAGCTTTCAGAATTCCTTACTCAGAGAAAGAGCTTGCGTAGGAATTGGAAATGAATTTAGAAGAGCAACGATATTCAATATACTAGAATGGACAAATGCGCCTGAAAGCGAGTTAAATTTTTTTAATATATAAAAGATCTAATACCTTAGAAGGCGATATTAATTCGTAATCCATTAATTGAATTAAAAACTTCATTGGAGATTTTACGCTATATTAAATTGGTTAAATGAAGCTTTACCAAGTACATTCATTGCAATAAAGATTATTTTAATCATTCCAATTACCGTAGCATCCGCCAGCTTCTCAAAGCTCAAAATAATTTAAACTTACCTACGATTCTGTATGGCACATGACAGACTTGTTGATCTCTCTTTGATTTTAATAGAAAATGATATCACCTCATCCTTAGATTGTACTGATAAATAAAAAGGCGAGGAGGATCAATAAAGTCGCGATATTTTAGTCATCATTCATTTTTATAATGTGCGATACCATTTATGATAAAAAAATAAAGTAAATATGCTTTTAGTTCTCATGCAAAGTTATCAAATAAGGATTAATAAATCGTGTTTTTTAAAAGGCAGCCAGATTATTTATGGTAGTTTTAGTAAATGAAACGAGTTAGAAACTATCTTATGTCAATAATGTGTTATGAAATATTCTCATCATTATCATGGTCAATATCCATCGTGCCTGAATCTTGGACAAAGAAAATTTGTATCAAATATCTTAGCAATATTTTAACAAAATAAGATATTATAATTAGCATTAAAATAAACTTATCATATTTTGGCTATATTTATATTTTTTTTTAATGATTAAATTATATTACACACGACAGATTTATTAAAAATAAAGCTTAAGAAATGAGACTTACAATATTTTTTAAAAAATTTTAAAACAAGGCTTTTCATATTTCAACAAAAATTTTTTTTTACTAAAGCCTCTGCTAGTGAGAGTAAACAAAATACACTAACAGATAATATCCAAGCATATGAAATGTTAAGAAACCCGAAAAAATATTGACAAAATTGACTATTATAAACATCAACCTCAAAATATATTTAAAGATACTCTCACAAGATCCTTGAATGTATATTGCAATAAAATCATTGAGTGCATCGGTGAAGAATGATTGACATCTATTACTAATAATTAAATATCAGGTCAAATCATAAATATTTAGTATAGTGACCTGAATTAAAAAGCCCGCCCAATTGTTGTTTTAGATTTTTAACCAGCCCGACCAAATTATTTTAATGGCTAGTTTGCTCTTTATTCATTTATTTTAATGTATTTTTAATTAAACATATATAATATGCAATATTATGAAATAAAAAAATTATTATTAATAAATTGAAGTCTGTTCTACTCATTTAGCCTGAAAATTATTAAAAATCCATCCGCTCGCACCAGCCCATTACCTCAAAATTTTTTAACCCGCCCGCCTCCCGCTTAATGTTGAAAATATTTTAGAAAACCGGACCATGCCCGCCCAAAGTATAGGCGGGCGGGCTCACCCATTGCCGATTTCTAACTCGAATCTTGAGTGGTGGAAATCCCAAAGTAGTATTTTTATTGGTGATGACACAGATATATTATATATTTGAGATTATTTTTAGAGTTACAAATATAAAATCTTATACATTGATGGAGAATTCAATATTATAATAATTTTTAAGCAAATGAGTAGATGGTAAATAATTTATATTTATTTAAACTGCTAAAATAAATATATAATATTAAAATAGTATTTGTAGTAAAATATAAGGTGATTTTTAAATGATGAATTTTGATAATTATTAGTTGAAATAAAAATAAACACGATCTTTAAATTTTTATATCCATACCCTGGAATTTTATTATAAATTTTTATCTTAATTAAAAATTATTTTAAAGGCACTATAATCTGATTCCTATTATTGCCGAAAACTATGGATTGATAAAACCAGAATATCACGCCGTTGTATTAGCTAAGAGAAGTGATCTTGAAACCAATTTTCTCTCCCTAAAAGGTAAAAGATAATTTTGAATATAATATCAAATACATAACTTTCTCGATCAATAGATCCTGATTTATTATGCTTATATACTATCCCAATCAGTGTCAATATTAGGAACATGCAGGCAGGCAGCTTGCCTAAAGGTGCCAGCAAAATCTATTTTTTAGAAGCGCCTCATTTAAAAATATTTTTAATCTTGTTTTGGTATATTACATTTCATTCAATTTTTTCTAACATTATTACGCTTTGCTTTAGATATTTAATTTTACTTACTAATTAAAACTAGTGTTGTTACGGCTCAATTTGAGCCGATTTTTAAAAAGCTAACTCATTATTTTATCCAGAAAAATATTATGCAAGCCTAAAGATTTTGCTCATAGATGGCACATAGGATTGAACATCTGTTGGCGAAATCTCGACGCTTAGGTAATATTTTCCTGGCTATAATGTTGAGTTAGCCATTTTTGAAAATCGGCTCAATCTAGCCGTTTAACAATATTAATTAAAAAAAAAGAAATGTTTTTATTAAATTATTTATTATTAATATGATTACATTATATAGATTACTTTACCTTTGTAAGCCAAATGAAATTATCCGGTTCCTAAAATAAAAATATAAAATTGTTAATGATAGGAAAGCAAATAAACTAGTGTTGTTAAACGGCTAGATTTTAAAAAACGGCTAACTCAATATTCCAACAAAAAATATTGGGCAAGCCTCGGGATTATGTTAATAGATGCCCGAACCTTTCTGCCATCTATGAGAAAAATCTCCAGGCTTGTATAATATATTTTGGTCAAAATATTGAGTTAACCGTCTAGATATACAAAAAATAAAAAGGTTAATTTAAATTAGATAGAATTAAAAAGTCAAAGGAGTGAAAATGAAATACAGAAACAAAGTAGTGGAGACCCGGCCTCAGGGGCACATAGGACAATTCTAAATTATATTTAAAATAATAAAATCTATATTTTTAGATCAGATATAAAAATTAATTTATCAACTTTACTAATCCAAATTTATTTATTTCCCTAGTTTTTTGAGCTATTTTTTCATATATACATTCATTTAAAAAATTATAAAAGAGATTTAGAACTTACCAAGTATATCCCTTAAGCGATCTAGAATTCTAATCGTTCACTTTATTGATTTTTAAGCTCTAGGTAAACTGATTGTTCTTGTCTACAACCTTAAAAATAGATTGGATAATTCAAATAGAACATCATACATTACATAAAGGTGAGATCTGATAAATCGGGTGAACAGCCCGTTAAATTAGACTGTTGCTAAAATTCTCTGAATATTTGAAATGCATATACAGGTTCTCATAGTTATTTAAAGCTGTTAGACATCCAACATAAATCAAGTACCCTTCCAATCTTGAAACTGTATGCCAAGTTATTTGATTCCTATTGCTTTTGATTTTTGTTAACCTAGCTATATAAACTATATTTTGTGTCAATAAAGGCCTTAAAGTGATTAACGCCTGTAACTTTTTTACTCAAAGGGTGCCACTTTATAAATGGTGATTTAAACAATGCCAGGTTATGATCGTTGGATATAGTGTGCTTTCTTTCCAATCATGACACTGGCATCATCGCTAACAAAAGTTCCATCTTTTTAAAAAATTTTAAGAAAACCCAGCTGATTTAAGAAGATCCAGTAGGGTATAAACAATCCCGCTTCATCTTTTGATTACAGTTCAATCAAGTCTATATATCAAAAGAGGACCCAATACAGATTTTGCATAAATAACTAAAGCTGTTTTATTTAACAAGTTGTATATTCATCTACAAGTATAGCGATTTTGGCTTGTAAATTGATAATATTATTTACAATTTTCATTTGCATTTTATTGGAAAAACTTTCAATAATTAACAAACAAGAATACCTTGCAAAATATGTCTCATATCTAAACCATTCTACTCTTGTAAATCTATTAACTAATCGAAATCTACAAATGGGCTTTTTAATTTTGCAAGATAATTTACAGTATTAAATATTATTATTTTGTTTATCGATGTGATTAACCATTTTTAATGCAATATCTGACAGTATTTTTTTTTAATTTGGTTTCATAATCTTTTTCCGCAGCTATGTGTGCATCTGAATTGGTATATTTCAAAATTTTTTGGTTTATGTATTCTGTCTTATAAATGGCTGCTAATAATTGTATAATTTCACCTTTCACTTGATATAAGTATTCCTTGTGAGGAAGCAGGGTTCAGCTAGTAAACGTCTAGTCAAAACGGATATAATATTATCCTATTTCTATCGGATACACTTTTTTAAGAACCAACTTAAATAAGGAGGCGTTTTACAAATTATAAATATAGAATTACATTAATATACTACCATTTTGTTTATATAATATTTTATGTATAATTCATAATAACTAGGGATGTACGGATATTTTATATCGGATCGGGCCGATATTTCACCCGTTTTAAAATATCGGTCATCGGCCAATATTATAAAATTTTCTGATACGATCTGATATAAAAAGCGTCTTTAACAAAAATAAATGTTATAAAATTTTTAAAAAAAGTTTTTAAAATCATTTATTTTTATAAATAAAATCGAAATCCATTTTTATGTATACATATTTTTTTAATAATAATAATTAATTAACATTCTGCCATATTGTTATTTTTTTTGCGCATTCTGTTTATAAAAGTGTGCGATAATCTCTTCAGAATCTGTTTTTAGTGAAGCTGGTGATATTGACAGTTACCATCGCCGCAGACTGATATCTGATAAATTGGAAATTTTGGTATTTCTAAAAAGAAATCTTCGATACATTAATGTTAAAAATTATTTTAAATATTTATTCCAAATTTCATAATATATTTGTTTATTACTTATTATGTATATAGATTAATGTTAAATAAAAGTGATTTAACAATAAAAATTTTTTTTATACTTTTAGAATTGCAATTAAATTGAATATAAAATGTAACGATCATTATAATATATTCAAATGACATAAGTTATGGTAGAGTTAAATTATAGATGTTATACTAATAAAAAGTATATTAAATATTAAAATCATAGGTATCTTTACAGAATACAAAATTAGATAAGATATTGGATAGGTAATCGGTCGATATCAATTTAATATCGGGAATATTGGATCGGCCTCCAAAAGGTGGTATCGGTACACCCCTAATAATAACAAATTAATAATATGCTCAAATACCAGTATAAAATAATTAATTTGAACATGGCAGGCCTCCTACATTTTTGAAAAATTTTGAAGGGGCACGTAAAATATTTCAAAATCAGCGAAGACACTGCGTGCTTCAGCTTTCTCCTCCCCACCACTGTATTTGTAATTGAATCATTCACAAATAACTTGTTTAATTTTTGGTGAATTTTCTATTTAATTCGTAGATTTAGTATTTAAGTTAAACAGATCTTAGGGTGTGCCCTGATTAAACTTATTAATAAACTGCCTATAAAGCAAAATCATTTTTGAAAAAAATACAAAAAAGAGAAAGGGTGAAAATAACTATGAATTCTAATAATACCACCAAACACTTAAAACAAACCAAAATAGTGTCCTAGTTCAGTTTAGTCTAGGCTAAACAGCAATAAGTATCAAAATTAAGTCGAACCAGGACCATAATTATTTATATGTTATCATAAAAAGCTGTTCATGATAATTTTTATTGTGATTTAATTATCATAATTTTTTTTAAATGTTTTACTCGAGTCATTTTAAAAATAAATAAATAATTTGCAGAAGATTTATCAAAGAAAATTTTTTACCATTTTTAGTCTAGTGGACGAAATTATGAACAATTTTCTAATTTTGAATATTCAACATAATTTATATATTATAACATAAAATTTTCTTAATCTTGTAAATAATTTTAATATATTTCAACTCTAACGATTGTAAAGAATAGGAACTTCAGAAATAAATAGAATGTTCCCCTAAAAAATTTTCCTCCTTTTATGACATTTATTACATTAGTTTTTATAGTAAATATAAATAAATATATTTATTATAATAGATTATTTTTTCAATAACATTCTATATTCCTCATTGTATAATTTAATTTCCGCATTCTCATATTATTAATCGATCAGGTTTTATATCATTATAGTATCCTTACTATACTTATCGTTTCAAATTATATATAATATAAAAAATAACACAGACTGGAGGAGTGGTTGGTAATTGGGGGGAACTTGCCCTAAAATTAAGATTCTGCGAAAATACAATAAATATTTATAGATTGTTATTATTTAAATTGAAGTTCCCTCAATTAAAGCTATCATGGGGTGAGTTTTGCAAAATTATGATTTTATAATTTAGGAAATTTCCAGATTATAAGAAATGGAATGAGAAAATAAACAGCATCAATATTCCAATTTCAACAAAATTAATATTTTAAAGTTACTAGAAAATACCACTGAATGTTATAAAATATCCATCGTAATTGAATCTTAGACAAAGATCAAATTTTTTTCAGAAATTATTTCAATGTTTCACAAAAGCCAAGAAGATTGTAACTAGCCTTTAACGTATTAGACATATAATTGTATATTAATTTTAGGATAACTTTTATATTTTAAAATAATATTAATCAATAAGTTATAAATATAACCTTTTATTTTAATTATTCCTCTAGAACATTACATATCACTTATATTAACAAATACAGTACGTAAATTATCCCTTTACAAAATAAAAATATAATAAAAACGAATATATCGAAAAAGAATGAATCAATAACTTGTAATGTTTTTTCTCTTTTTACTAATCATCACTTCATATATTTCCATATATGACATCTCCCCTCTTTATTTTGCTCTATCCTCGTCTTTTGATTCGTTTATATCATTTCATACCTTCCATGCTTCTCTCATTCTACTATCTCGGAATTAAATTCCTCACCACCCAAATCCAAAATTTGTAATAACTCGTCTCCAGATTTTTTTTCAATACTATTGGTATCTGACGTACTCGCACACCTATGCTATGATTCCTTTCTTCATTCATCATATTTTGACGACTATAATTCATTTATTCATCCATCACCATATCCTTCATCGTTATTTATTCTTTTGTTCACCATTTTCGCTTTCTATCAATCTTTTGTCGTTTCGTATTTTAACGTCTCCTTTTCTCGGTTCGCATCAATTCTTGCTCTTCAAAAATCTAACCCCTCCTTCAATTCCTATTATTCTCCATTTTTCGTTAATAGTGAGTTGTAGCGTTTAGGTTTGGTTTATTGTGGTTACAATAAAGTAAAATTTGTTTATGCGTGTTTTATATTATACAATATGTTATGCTTTTGGTTGTGTGTATAACAATATGGTATATTTTGTTGTGTAGGTATAGTATTACAATATTATATATATTTTCGCATTGAAACAATATGTTAAAGAAGAAGATGAAATTATTAATTACTAGGTAGTGAAAATATAACTTAAAATTCCTAATTAAATGATATAATTATTGCTATTCTCGGATCTTGAGAATGAAATATAAAATTTTATGACAGGGAAAATATAACTTAAAATTACAAATAATTGTGACTAATTAAGATAAAGGAAAAAGAAAATTTAAATTTAAATTTATAATAGATAAAATATAACAAAGTTCTAATCTTTATAGTTCGCTTCTCGACTTCTATTTTGTCTTTAGTGTTCGATGTAATTTTATCAATCCTTTCCTATCAGTCTTTATATTTGTCAATTATTAATCTCTTTTTAATTTTCCACTCCTTCTTCTCCCTTTTCCCATTCCATAGTTTCTTTTTACTTCATTGTCCTCTTCTTTCCCTTAATTTTCTTTTCTCTCTCCCTCTCTTACTTTCTTTCCCCCTTTTCCAATTCAAATAATTTCAATATTCGAGTGGTTCTACGATGAATACTTTTATTGTACTCTTAGTTGTAGTCATTTACTTCTTTATTTTCTTATTCAATTTGAATCCTTCGAGTTTAATACTTCTTTGAATTATGCTATTTATCTAACGCTCCATTCAATTTTCTATTCTGTCGAATTCTCTTAAATCAAATAATTTAATTTCATATTTTGACTCTTACGAATATACTTATATTTATATTCATCAAAAACCGGATCGAATCTGAATATGAATGCATTTAATCTTTCATAATTCATATTGGTCTTGCTTAATTAACTTCTTCTTTTCTTATTCTTTTCCTTTTCATTGCTTCTCATGCTTGGCCATACCTCTGGTTCTTCTATCTATTCCTATTTCTCCCTATAAACCCTAATAATTACTCTAAAAGCTTCCAAACTACCATTTCAATACATAACATTCACAAACATTTAAATCCTTTATTTGCCCTACATAATTATTTCCCTTAAAATTTCTAAAAATATCCCCATGATATATATATTCGCCTTCCATATCTATCCTTCCTTTATAGCGAATTCTCAATTTAAAATCATTACTCCCTAATTGTGAGAATTCTAGTCATCTTGATTCTCACTCCTTCTTTTACTTTATTATTAAATTTTATATAAGAAAATTTAATCCTAATAAAGTTATCATCCCTCTTTATTTTTTTCTTAAAGTTCCAAATTATTCCTAAAATTTAGTTTATAAAATCTTTATTATTTCTCTTATTGGAATTTCCGTGTTTCACTAAATTTATCTCCATTTTATTTAGGTTTATTTGTACTATGATATACACCTATTCCATTGTTTTACCTGAACAATTATAGTAATGTAGACTTATATGTGCTATTACTCACACCTATAAAAATTATTCAACCAGAACCAAATAAAATAATTTTCCTTCCTTTACCTCAATTCCAATTGTAGGCTTATCTGTACTATGACGTACGCCTATATTTCGTTCTGGCTGAAAAATTATAAAAGAGACACTTCTTTATTTTCTCCTTTACCTTAATTTCCTAAATTGTAGGCTTATTTGTACCATGACGTACACCTAATCTATTCTAGCTCCACGGATGTAATAAAGATACACTTCTTAACTTTTTTATTAACTCCTAAAATTTTGGTTCTTAATCTTTATTCCCTTCCTCCTAATTCTTCTGTATTAGGTTCTAATTTTATTATAACTATTATTCAGATAATTTTTCCTCATTTAATTTATCACCTATCATTTCATACATCTTTATAAAGTTAACCTAATAATATTCAAATTAACTTCTATTTCCTATAATTTCTAATTATCTATCTATTGTAATATTCCTATATATAAAATGTATATTTATAAAATTAATCAATTTATTTACAAAAAAATTTCTTTAATATAATGTTTTTACCTCATGTTCTACCTCCTGTCTTTCCTTCCTTCTTCATCCTTTGATTTATATCTTTTGTATCTATTATCTCTACACTAACTCGCAAAGCATCCTATTTCATTACAGTAATAACATGATAATATCTCTATTCTTGTACCCTTTTGTCTTCACCATAATTTCCTCTCTTCTATTTCCACCTCCCAGTAACATTCCTACTATTAAAACTAATGATGTGTATATTATTGCTAAAATAATACCTATAATTTTATCTTTTTCGTTAATTGTTATATACATTATAATATTTTAACCTTATTCTCTGATTCTTCTTTATAATAAGATATTTATTAATAATTTTACTATTATTACTCTAACTTCTCATATGTTTATTAATAACAAAATTATTATTAACATATGCCATTTTATATAAATTTTTTATATCTTTGTTTAAATTAATTTCAGTTCTTCTAATATAATTCTTATACCTTTATTAACTTATAATTCTTCATAATTTTCTAATATGATACTTTATAAATTTATTTACCTAATTCTATTATATTCTTAAAATCTTAATTTAAATTATTATTCTTCCCATTTAAATTACATTTTTTCAAAATTTATTCTCTTTATAATTCTATTTAAATGATATTTCTTCAAATTGTCCTAATATACCTCTTTATAATTCTATTTAAATGATATTTCTTCAAATTCTTCCAATAATTTTTCTAAATATTCTTCTCTTAATCCAGGATCTTTTTTTGAAGTATATGACAAGGCGCCCTTTTTATGTTTGTATAAAGTAAATTAGTAAGTTATATATTAACCTTTTATTTCAATTATACTGCTTGAACATTACATATCAACTCATATTAACAAATACAGTGTGTAAATTATCCCTTTACAAAATCAAAAAATAATAATGTGATATATAGCGCTTCTGCCCTCTAGCGTTGAAGGTTCAACAAAGCTACTAGGTTTTCCTCATTTCCATCTAATTGGAATAATTTAATTTGGGTATAAAAGTAAAAATATGAGGAGCCCTCTACACGTTTGTGGGCAAGCCGCACGTACTTATAGGTACAAAACCTCTATAGGTTTATTAAAAAGGAGTGGGGCAAAAAAAGAGCCTATACCCGAGAACTACAGTATAATTTAATTACTTTAAAGGTGGGTGATGGCTGATTTTAAGTTTAATTTCTTTAGTGTGAGTTATGATTACTATCAATATTGAGATATAATGTTCATAGAATCTGTAAATAAATATGATTAAAATAAAAAAATTTGCCTGATTCAACCCATACAATACCGTTCTATCACTTCAAATTTTCCACCGGATCATAATTTATGAAACCTCAGACCAGACCTAAAGAGTTTTTTCCGAAAACAAATTAGAATAAAATGATATGAAGTTAAAAAAATATCAAAAATAATAATAAAATAAATGAATATATCTAAAAAGAATGAATGAATGACTTGAAATGTCTTTCTCTTATTAATCGTCACTTCATATATTTTCATACATCACAGTTGACAGATATATAATTTAAAAGTTTTATCCATAGTTTTAGATATAAATTATATTTTTATTGCCATTACTAAACCACACAAAGTGACGAAAGAAGCACGAAAAATTCTATATTAAGCAAAATATAATTGCAACCAAAATGTGAAAAACGCGCAAAATACGCATAGAGCCTAAAATCGAAACTATGGAAAAAATTATTACTAAACCAGGGAAAGGATAAAGAAGCATGCTAAATAAAATTACAAAAAAAACACAAAGGCATTCAAGGTGACACAAAATAACAAAAAAAACATTCAAATGACGCCAAATAGCATAAAAAGCATGGAAGAATAACGCAATATCAATAGAATCATGGTAAAAGATACCGCAAGAGGCATGCAAATTATCATAAACATGCAAGATATCCAAAAAGCAAGAGAATGACATAAAATATGCAAATCAAAATGAGCTAAAATCAAAATGAGCTAAAATCAAAATGACAAATAAAAGCAATAAAAACCTAATAAATTCTTTTATAAATAAAAAATTCCACTGTAATTTGCCACAGCAATATTTTTTGTTCTGTTGAAAAATTATTGCGGGGACTTCTGACTTGAGTAGTAAAATCATTATAATTTATATATACAATTGAATAATTTATTATTGTTGACATCATGTATTATTGTTTATTTTGAAATAGAAAAATAAATAATGTATTACTTTTGTTTTATGTTTTATATATTCTTCATTTCCCCATATTTTTCAATTATTCCAAATTTATGTTTTATATATTCTCCATTTCCTCATGTTTTTAAATAATTCTAAATTTTATATTTTTACTCACCTCCTATTAGAATTTTCCGTTTCTTCAAAAACCCAAATGGCCCTTTCAATAAAATTCATTTCAAAAAAGAATTTTCTCCCTTCACTTATATTTATTTTGTACCTAAACATTTCAACGTTCTTGGGTTTATCTAACCGTTTTTTAGGAATATATTTTCTTTTCTTTTTCAAAAGGTAAGCGAACATGTCACGGCGCCTTCGAAAGCGGAGCTGGTTGGTACATCCCTATATTCCAGCTAGAAACTTCAGGCCAGATGCGAGTATTACCCTCTGACAAATGTCGCTTGGGTAAATCAGCCTCTGAATTTTTCCAGCAAAGTTGCGTTCCTGGTGCCTTATCACCCATTTACGGCGGAAAGCATAAAAGAGCTAATATTAACGGGCGTAACTTGTGCGATTTATGCATTGGAACAGGCGACGACTTTTGCCGGAGAAACGATGCGGAGCCATTCTACGGGGATAGTGGAAGTTTACGGTGTCTAGTAGAAGGGGGTGGACAGGTCGCATTTGTTAGGCACACTACATTGGCTGACAACGCTGACGGAAGAAATGGGCAGAACTGGGCTCGGTTCTTGATATCGGGAGATTTTGAATTGCTTTGCAAGGACGGCAGTAGGGCGTCAGTTAAGGAATGGGAAAGGTGGGTATTTGTTTTATTTAGTTTTTCACCACGTTCAAAAGCCATAAGAGGGAAAAAACTATTTGTATAATATTAATTTTAAGTTGGTAGATTTATTAATTTAAAGGAGACGAATTATCCTTTATATAATAAAAACCGTGTCACAGAAAAATTGTGATGATTTGTGAAAAAGTCAAAATCCATGAGGTGGAATCGAACCGAAACATTTGTGGTGCCTGCTTACCCACCACTATGCCATCACGATTTATAAATTATGTATTTTTTATCTATTTATTTTCCATTCTATAAAAATTTCAAAAGTTGAATAATAATTAATATTATGAAATATTCATTTTTATATCACAAAAATTTGCTTTTATAAGATTTTTTACACAAATGATTTGGAATATAGGTAACTTATAAAAATGATTTAGAAATATCACAAAGATTATTTATTTAAAGATTTGGTTTTATAGGTGAAACATGAGTGACTTTTAATGATTCCTGTTTGACCACATATGGGATTAACTTATTTTATACACAAATATCATAAAAATTTACTTTTAAAAGATAACAAAAAGATTTGGCTTTATAGGTGAAACATGGGTGATATTTGATCATAAATCCTGTTTGACCATATGAAGAATTCACTAAAATGATTTAGAAATATCACAATTATTTACTTTTAAAAGATTTGATTTTATAGGTGAAATATGGATGATAGACTACATAAAGGATTAATTTATAAAAATGATCTAGAAATATCACAAAAATTTGTTTTTTTACAAAAATATTTTGATTAAACTGAAGCACCTGGTAGCCCTAATATCTATCATCCTTTCATAATGTGGTCTTATTATAATATTTTTGTAAAAAGAATTATGTTTAAATGAGCAGATAATCCATCAATGACATGGAATAATACATTTCTATTTATTTGTAATTTACTTTGAAGATACATAACTAAGTGTGACAAAATCTTATGCAATTCAGAGTTTACTGGTTTATATCTGGAAGAATATAGTTATTCATCTTGTGATGGAGATGAAATGAGATACTTGAAATAAAATCTCACATATTATAAAAATTCATATTGTACAGAGTTGTTAAACCCTATTTTTAAAAGTAGCCCAATACCGCTATCGCTATTTGTCAGCGCGATATCGCTATCGCTACTCATCAAAAAAAGTAGCGCGCTAATATCTGCCATGGTACATATATAGGATATCTCTGACAACTCTACTATTAGAGCATCTTTGATCACTTCAAAGTTATCTGCTATCTTAATCATTAGTGTCTATGACATGCAATAGGGGATAGAGTTTTAATCATCAGGATAATTGATGGATTATCAACCAAGGACGTTGGATGAGCTGTATCAATTATAAAATCAATAATGACTTTATCAGCCAGTATCTGAGTAATATTGGCATGTATTATTAATCAATTTAGCTTGCAAGGAATTGGTCATTTTGGATGTAGTCTCCTATACTAAAATTATTATGATGTTTTTTTTACCTCTTTAAAACTGTTGGCATGAACATTCTTATAAACTATTAGATTTTAAAAATGACAATTACCTTTAGATGTTTTTTGAAGGTATAGCTACTAGATTAATTTGAGGATATATTTTTTTTACATTTTAAACAAATAAATTTGTAGCCACTTTTTGTTTTTAAATTAATTTTAAAATATCGAATTTTGGAAATGGAAAATGGGGATTATATTATCAAGAATATTTTCTTACAGGGTACCTTCCATTTCATTAATATCATCATTGTCTGACTCACACATCGATTTGGATATCTTTGTGATAATATTTTAAATAATTTACAACCAGATGATTTAGGTTTATAATACAAATTGAAAATATAAATTTCAATTTCAAAATGATATTTAAATTTTAATTGTTTATAGTTACCATTATATTTTAAAAAAGTAGTTAAATAGCACACTAAAAAAAATTAATAATTGGAAAAAAATTAACACGTTATTAGCTAACACTACCAAAAAAGATAGCGTGCTACTTTAACAACTCTAATATTGTTTTATAAAATAACATGAATACTAAATATTTTTATTCGATTTTAACAATAAAAGACTCTCTAGGTTTATATCAAGGGGGTCCCTCTCATCATTAAAACACGTTGAGTAACACTAAATAAGGGTTATACTAGTGCCCTTGCTAGCAGGAATAATGATGCTTTATTTTATAAATAATTGTATTAGCAATATTTAAAAATAGTAAAATCTCTTGTCTGCGAAAACAATTATCAAGGTTTTGTTTTACATTTTTATTTTTATTGTAGCATAGGATTATTAAAAAAAGAATTTTTTTTGGACTTCTTTTAATAGTTTCATTTGGGAAATTTATATAGTCGATAGTTCTTTAACTGTTATTTATCCATTTTCAAAATCTATTCTCTGAGTTTTGAATCCAACTTTATTCAAATGTGAGTAGAGATAGGCATCTATTATAAGTTATAATTTCTGTAAATTTTTTAAAGAATAGATTGTTGGTAATAAAAAATTCTAAATCACTTAAAAACAATTAATTCGCCTTCTTCTCCTTTTAATGGCGATTTCCAGATTTACCCAGGTTAGCCAGTTTTCCCTTTGATTTTTCTTTTCCATTTTTGTAGGTCATGAGCCATCTTTCTCATATCCGCAGTTATCACTTTTATCCACATCAACTTGGACGTTCCTGTATGATTCTCCTGCTTACATCAAGGTGCATCTCTTTACTCAGTCATCTTCTGTCTTACGTTCCACATGCCCAAACCATGGTAGCCTATTTTTCCGCATTACCACTCCAATCATTTCTATACACATTATTGCCCGGTATTCCTTATTAGTTTTTCTCTCTCTCCAAGATACCCCACACATCCATCTAATCATCCTCATCTCTGTTCTTTCCAATTTGGCTTCGTGGACCGCTTTTATTGTCCATGTTTTGCCGCCATAAACTAAACAACTCCTCACACAGCTTATTTAAACTTTACCCTTAAACTCCTGATGGACGTTTATGTTAGAATAGATGACATCTCTCTGAACTTTTCCTATGCTTGTCTGACCCTTGCAACAACAGCAAAATATACGCCACTATCTGCGTTTAGCATATCACCCATATGGCACAACTTTTCCCAGAGTTAACCCATTGCCAATATCCAAACCATTATTTTCTACGTTATCAGTATTATGTACCCCTTTTATGCACGTTCTACAACTAAGGTCATACTTGCTAACATCAGACTTCCTTTTATCCCGCTACATCTTTTATGCACCCATTTATAGCATCTGGTACATTGGATTGAATTTCTAGCAACTCCTGTCCCACATACACAACAAGGACAGTTGCCGGATTCCTCCGTCTTCAGATTGTCCCCACCATTTCACCTTTGTCTTTACTGCATTTATTTGCAGGCCCTGCTTCCATTGATCTTCTATATACTAATTTTATCCCTTAATTCTTCCTCACTGTTTGCCATTAATACAAGGTCATCTCCATATAATAGCTCCCTGGGAAGTCCTTCACGCATCACTCTAGCCACCTTATCCTTTACTAATAAATAATAATGGACTCAGCACGGATTCTTGATAGAGTCCTACCTTGACTTCAAAGCTTTCAATATCTCAATCATCTGTCCGTAGCAGTTTGTGCTCCCACATACATTGCCAACACTGCCATAACCAACCATTCTTCCACACCAGATTTTCTCAAGACCCATCTAATTACCTCGCACGGAACCCTATCAAATGCCTTTTCAAATCAACAAACGCATAATACAGTTTTTCTCCTTTGCAAGATACTTTTCCTGTATTTGTCTCACCACAAAAATTGTATGTCGTGCTTTTCCCTAGTGTAAAACGAAATTTCTTTCATTTGTTTCCTTATCCGCTTCTCAAACACCCTCTCAAATATTTTCATTGCATGTTCCAAGAGTTTAATAGCTCTATAAGACCAGCCATCTATAGAATCAACTTTCAAATTGTATACTATAATAATTATGCTTCTTCGCCAATCCTCGGGTATAGTTTCTTCTTTGTCAATTAGATTGACTAAATTCATTGATTACTAAATTAGTCATAACAACCTTTAAACATTTCTAATACCATTCTCGTTAAATCTGCTACCTTCCATTTTTTCATCCTTTTCAATGTTCTCTTAATTTTATTTTGCTAAATTTACACCTGGACCTTCTTTACACAACTAACATAATTATCTCAATCATTCTCTTCTTTCAAAAGTCCTTCCATATAGATCTTCCAGGTGTTAATACCACTATTATCAATCACCATTTTTCTTTCAATATTTATCATATATTTAAATCTATCACAACAAACTTTCTTTGTTATCCTGGCGCCTTTAATCCACCACACTTTTATCACCACCCGACTTCTAAGTCATCAACTAATCTGATTCTTTCTCAACATTGTTAAACAATCATATCCATACCATCATTAAAATCCAAAATTCTTTCCCCTTCCGGATTTCTTATACCTTAAGTAAATCTTCCATGTACTCCCTCATAACCCTCGTTACTCGCTCCCACATGTCCATTCAGATCACCAGCTAGGAATTCCCTCTTCATTTACCACTCTTGATGCCACCTCCAATAGACTGTCTCAAAATGTATCTTTCTCTTTTTCACTTCTTCCAACCTGAGGAACATATGCAGAAATAATATTGCATAGCTTTCTACCAAAAATTCTTGATAATCATTATCTGGTTTTCTAGTCTTCACTTCGATTACTTTCACCCATTTCTCTTCAAACAATACGCCAACGCCAGTCTTACCATCATTACTTACTTGCCAGAAAAATTTATACTTTTTATCAGTACTGCCAATTATTCTAGCGCTTTTACCTTTCCACCTAGTCTCATGCGCTATTACCTTTTCCGCTAGTCTCTTGTATGCCTTCTATATAGTGAATCGAACACTTTTCCCCAGTCATGTTCCCAACATTCCATGTAGCAAATTTTACTCTATCCCCCTTAAACTGGTTTCTACACTTATTATAAGGTCGTGCGGATGAGAAGGCCCTCAGGGCACTTTGGGCTGTACCCCGCCTGTAATTTTTTGTAATAAGGAAATGAGCAAGGTTTTCATAATCGGTTTCCCTTCCTGACATCAACCCCTTTAGATGTCTTTACACCCCTCCGAGGAAACGGTGATTCTATTCTAGACCCAGATTGCAGAGAATTTAACCTCCATTAGCCGCCAAAAGACGTTGCCACTCCCCTGCCACGATGAGGCTGAATGTAGGATTTTGGGAAAACTTAAATAAAATTTAAAAATAAAAAATGGTATGTAAATTTAAAATTAACTCTGATAATGACTTTAATTTATCAAAATAACAATTATAATATTTACTTAATGAATTAAAATTAGTTGGCACTGTTCCTTGAATAGAAAGGAAATCAGTTGGATCTGCATATATCAAATAATTTTCTTTCTAAGGAATAAATTTCCATTTGAACCCCCCCGCCCCCCCCCAACTCCCCCCCCCCCCCCCCCCCCCAACTCCCCCCCCCTTTCCGCGAAGAACTTAAATAAATTTAATTTATTCATAGTATGTAATAATATAAATATATATTATTTTAATAGTCATGTAATTTTTAAATAATTTAATTATAAATAAAATTATAAAAAAAATTCAATATGCAAAATTAATTTTTATTAAAAAGTGATTAACCTCTATAACTTACAAGGTTGTGTAACAATTAATTACATAATTCCAATTCTTTTTTTGTAATTTCATAATTAATTCCACTTTGGAGTTAGTAATTATAATAAATAAGATTTTTTCAGGAATGTAAACATTAATAATTCCTTTTCTTATTTAATTAATTTTTATGAAAAACGCGTAATAATTGCAAACATTTATTCCTATATTTGTCCGAAACAGAAATATAGTGAGTTCCTATGACGATAACCTCTTCTCTTCTAATACGAACTTACATTCAAATTCTCAATATTCAATGCAATTTATATGTCAAAAAAAACTTTAAAAAATTTAAAATTGCCTTAGATAAATTACAGGAGAAAGAGGATTGTTATTTTGTGGAGCTAGTTCTAATATTATTTAGTTCTAAAGAAATTTTATTAAAATTGCAAAACTCTTCCCTACGTCATTGTGCACCCTTTTAAAGGCTATAATTATAGGATTAATAAAAGATTTTTTTCTTTAGAGTTTGATTGCAAAGCAAACTTTGCTTTCTTAGCTACTATATCACACCCAAATTTTAAGCTTAGATTAGTTTCATCAAGCTAACGATTTGATTTAAAATATTAATAATATCTGAAGCTGTTTTAAACACTTCTATATTTAAAAGTTTCGAGATTATAAAAAACAATCATAATAATTTCTTTAAATTAGATAATTTTATTACTACTTCAAATCCAATAAATGATATTGAACTTGAGATGTTTACTTACCTAAAAGATGATAGAGATTATATTAATATTTTAGCAAGTTTTCCAACGATTAAAAAATTGTTTTTGAAATATAACACATTGCTGTCTTCATCAGCACATGTATAAAGACTATATAGTTTTGCAGGTCTAACTAATTAACTGTTCGAAAAATTGTTACTTCTAAAAAAATTTTTTTTAAATATTAGTTAAAATATATTCAATCATTTGTTGATTTGGATAGAAAAAGAGCTTCAAATGGTAATCCATAATATCTATTTATATTTAGACATCATAAATGATAATCCATTTTGTAACACCAAATTTCATTACATCTCTTAACATAATATAATGTTTAATACGCAAATGTCTTATGATATTGTATTGAACTAGTAAAACCTTTTTATTTTTCAAAAATAAAAAAATTCTAATAAAGAAAAAAGATATTCTAATTATATCATATGCAACTAAATAAAGTTTGTTTCTTCCCAATGGAGAACTTTGGATAGAAATAGGCGTTCGTTTAGTGTCCCGCCGTCATCTTGCAAATTCTGTCAGGTACTTGGGTTCCCTCTTTATTGCCGCTTCACAGAAGACCGCCACTCGCGCCACCAGGCAGTAGATTAATTATTGCTAGAGCTATCCACTCAGCCAATATTTTATTAATATTGGAACCCGTAGGACCCAATGGAGACAATATTAGGCCCGATGGAATAACATTCATTCCATAGAGCAACGGAAGCACGTTGGCCTGAAATTAGACATGCATTGATAGTTTTGCACTATCCTTAAGTTTCAATTCTTTGGTTAGAGCGGGAATTAATAAATAAAGTTACATTTCTAATAGAACTTTAATCACCGTAGTTTCCGGCATAATCAGCGCTTTCGTATCCAGAGCCCGGGTTTCTTTTAAAAACACCCAGTTAAAAAATGCCCTTATTTTCGGATGATCTTCAGGAAGATTTTTACCTACGACAACCTATTTCAATTAAAATATGTAGCACACTTATTTCAATTTACGGTGTGTTTTTTTAAACATATTTTATATTATAAATTTTTTATATATTCTTATTTATTTTTTAAAATATATTTTATTTTGATAAAGTTTACATGGTATATTATTTTTCAAATTGAAATCTTATTGAATAAAAAAAATCTTTTTATCTATAGTTATTATTAAAAAAAGTGGAATAGGGATATGTATAGCAAAGAAATTATTATCTAAACTTAAGAGAGGGGAGCAAATGAAAATTAAGGACATAGACAGATACATCTATATATCTATCATTAATAAATAAATTAAGACGCAACAAGTTTCTCTGAACATTGGAAACCCTTTGCTAGAATATTTAATTTAAAGGAGGCAATAAAATAGATAAATGTATTTTAAATATAGTAATAAAAATAATGGATCCATTAATAGTTAAATACTTTAATCAAAAATTTTATTACTTCCATGATCTACATATTAAGGAAATATATGTATAAAGCCAATTCCCCTATTGTACAATATTCGCTATTGATGAACATTTTTATCTTTCGATGGGTGCACTTTGACGATAGGCCAAAGATTAGGAAGTCCTCAATAGTAAATGGCACAACGTCTGATGTGAATCTTTACTCCTTTCGTCTAAAAAAACATTATTTCCCAAACTAAATTTAGTCTTTTTTAACCATTATGTCATATACCCTATCACCAAGTGTTTCTTCTATCACATTTTTAGACCCTTCTTTTAAAATTATACATAATACTTACTTTATTTTTAGAAAATCCTGGAGGTAAGTTTCAATAACATCTTTGGCTTTGAGCATGTTATTAGCCTTAAATCCATTATCTTTTTGTATAATAAAGGTATACCTTTTTTTGATGCCTCTCTATAGTTAAATATTATTTCAAAGGGTCTTCTATAAATAGGGAAGCGTGTCGCCTCTTAATTAATTTACTAATGATAAATACATATCGATATTTTACTATGTCTTCACTTTCATTCACTCTCTCCATCATCTTCACGAATGAAAATTAAGTGAAATCAACATGCTTGTATAAACCCTCTGCCCCCAAATTATTTTTACACCCTATCATATGATATATGAAGTCAATAGCTCAACCCCTCCCTCCCTTATTTCAAGTAAGTATTAAATTTTTCGAATGCAGGTAGAATTATTTTAATATAGCCCCCCCCCCCCATTCCAGTTTTTACATTATCCCTAATTATAGAGTGTATTTATTTATTTTGTGTTAATCTTTATTTTCAAATTCAAATATGAAAAAGATTATAATAAGATAAACTTTTGATTATAAAAATTAAAAACATACATAACATAATATCTATAAAAATATATTTAAAAAAAATATATATTTAGGTTAATTCAGCAGGGCTTAATGTTCCAATATATTAATTATTTTGAGATAATAATACATTAGGTATTGTATTGAATTGAAACAGATATTAAAAAAACATCAAGTATTTATGGAAATGAGTTTATATTAATTACTATTGGTAAAACTTGATAAAACTTTCGAATATTAAACACGATTAATTTTTTTAAAGATAGATTAATATTGTATGTTAATATAACTTAATTAAATAAGTTTTTACATTTAATCATTTTTGAACCATTATTTTCTTTGTCATTTTGGTAGAATTTTTAGAAGGGGTTTGATTGGTTGAAGTGCCTATGTGGATAAAAATATACTAATATTGTAAGTTCTACATAGTCAGAAATATTTCATTTTTTAAAGTTAAATTTAGATGAAACTTGAGCAATTAGGTATACACATATTTTTTCATTATTAGTTATTATTTATTAATATAAGAAAATTTTAAGAACTGCTAAATATTTAATTCTGATTTGGTTATGTATAAGCGTTGATGGTAAATTAATTGCTTGCTAAATTTAATTAATTCATAATGATAACTTTTTAAACATGAATTCGTAAACTCCCCCCCCCCCCCTCTTCCCTTAATATTTTCTACACATTATAATAAACAATATTCTTATAATCACATTTTTTTTAAATTGGGCAAAATTCATTATAGATGTTACTTGGAAAAAGTTCCATCTGATGCTATAATGGTCTCGAGGGAAAGGAGTGCAAAAGAAATTAGAGCTTACGAAGATCTGTTTATGACGGCCCAAGAGTTTTTTAGTGGGCGGGGGGAAAGCAATTTTTACAATAACGAGCAGGCTAATTATGGCAGCATGGACTTCAAGCTGTTTGTGTCGCAAAGTAAAGCCAAAAATATTATTTTCAATGACGCAGCTATAAAATTGACCCGTTTACCGGAAGAAAATCAAAATTATGAAAATTATTTAGGGGACGAATTTATACAAATCATGGAATCGGTTAAGTGCGGGTCTATTATATCCTTACCCAATTTTTTGCTCATCAGCATTTCCATCAACATAATAATTTTTGTGACGCCCTAAAAATTTTCACCCTTTAATATGGCATATATATTTTTATAATACTCTATATGATTTCCTATATAATTAAATAAATATTTGATTTTATTGAAAATTCATTTATTTTCTCAATTTTTAAAAAATGCATATAAACGCATTTTAATTTTAGGAATGAAGATACCATTTTTATTCTCCGAAGTTGTATACGGATTTAATAGATATATTTGTCGAGGTTGTATTATATCATATATTATACTATGTATATTGTGAATGCGAACTGTGATGCAATTTATTTTCCCAAATCAACAAATCATATTCTTATTTTTATTCACACTTTTCTATGAAAATTTCCCCTTTTTTTATATGAAAACACTCAATATTTATAATATTTGTATAAAAAATTATCGTTAAACAATGTGTATTATATTTTAAAAAATTGATATGAAAAATATAAGAATAGAAATGAGGGAGAGGGGTAAAAATCTGGAAAAGCATTGTCAATACATATATTGATCGCGTATATTTACTGAAAAATCTGATTTTACCGAAAATAAATTCGAGCCCGCATAGTGCTAAATGGTTTGAAATTTATAAGACAGGTGGCAAAATCAGATTTTTCATATTAAAATAACATATACATAAATTATTTAAAGTTGAAAAATTTCCAAAATAACATCATGATACCAGTGACTTAGAATGGGAACAAGATTAAAAAATTTAATTTGGAAACTTCCGACATTTAATTTTTTTAATATTTAATCAAATAGAATAGTTAGAACAAAAAATAATGCACATCAAAAAATATTCTATAATTTAAAAAAATTTAGATTATCCCTTAAAAATAATCAATCTTAAAATAAATTTTAAAGGAATCTGAATGGAAGATATGCTATGTTCCCATTCCCTGCTAACCTATACATTCTTTTAATAAAAGGATATTAATCTGGATATGTTAGAACCAACCCAATAATAGAACATAAATTTAACATCAATATTACTGTATAATAATAGAAGGAATAAAATGTCTAACAATGAGAAATTAGGAAATCCTTTTTATGAGTGATCTGAATCGGGCCTAATTTTTCAAGTCCGGCCCAATTTTTTTTTAAAAATTATCCTGCACTATCCCGAACGAAATTTTATTTTATTTTTCCCGAAAAGCTCGACCCGAAATAAGAAAAATTATTTGTTCATCCGGCTCGAATTTATTTAAATATAGAAAAAAAAATTTTTTAATTGTAAAAAAATATTCTACAAATAATTACTGCCTTGTTTCTTGCAAGAATTTTAAAATATATCAATTTATTTGACAAAATGTAATAATATATTTAAAAATTTAAGTCCAGCTCGGCCCAAAATTTTTCAAAAAATATTAGGCCCGACCTAACCCGATCCAAAATTATTTTATAAAAATAGACACGGCCTCGCCCGAAACCCGTCCTGGCTAAGTACGAGCCGGGCCGAGATTTACAGATTCACACTTTTTATATTGATTCTAGTTCTTCTATCGTTTCCATAGTAGATTCTTGAAATTATGAGGATAACTACAGCTTTGATATTTGACTATAACTATTTCAGCTGGGTTATAATAATAAGTATTGACATGTAAGAAAATGACATATTTAAAAATATGAATTTTCATATCTCTTACTCCGAATTCAATTAGGATGCTGTGTTTAGTTATTTGATATCACAAATATAATATGTTATATAATAATTATTTGTATCTTTATTATATAAACTTTAATATTATTAATCAAATGAAATTAGACTTCATATCGACTTATTTTCAAAATATTTTTCATTTGTAAAATACTTCATATACTTAAACTTCTTTAACTATGGAACTTTGATTTCTTTTTGACATCTTTGCGTATTCAAATGTTGTATTATAAATTATTACGAAAATAATTTTCTAACAGCGGTAATAAGGTTATTATAATAAATATTGTAGCGAATGAAGTAGGTGTATAAATCAGCAAAAAGAGCATAATTAATATCAAAAAAATTATGCAAGATAAGAAACCAGAAAGAATTAAGAGCGCCACTTTGAAAAATATAATTTAAAGCATTATAAAAAAAGATATTATTACGCGCTTAACACATTAGCGAAAAAATAATGATGTCATTCATTAATATGGTATTATAGGGTAAATTATTAAAAAAAAACAAACAATTAAAATAACAATATGTTTTTTTATTTTTGCACAACCCTCAAAAAATAAATGACAATCAAATATATAATATATAACAAAACAGATTTAAAAAATACATTAAAAATTGGATATTTTAATTTTCGTTTTTTCTTTATATATATTCTCCTTTTTCTAAATTCCTTTAAAATATATTTCAATATAAATTATATTTTTAAAAATTTACCTTAATTCATTGGTTGTCCTCGATAACCAATCTCCAAAAATTGATGCATTTATTATAATAATTTGAAAAATCAAAAGGAATAGTAAATTCATTAAGAAATGATGTTACATTATTAATTATTTCGTTTCGAGTATTTGGTCGGGGATTGATTGACCTATATTTGTTTTTTAACACTCCAAAAAAATTTTCTATCCGGTTTAGTTGCGGCGAATAGGGTGGCAAATATTCTATTCGCGCTCTAAAACAATCAATGAGGTGGTCGGTAGAATAATAATTAGTGCATTCATATAGAATCACCACTTACAGAGGAAGAATTGATCATATGGAAATTATTTGTAATATTAGGTATTGAATTTGAATTAGATAAAACAGGATCAGGATTTAATGTAAATGAATTTGTATTACTAGATAAAATTTGTCGTATATTAAACATTTGAAAAAAATATTAAACTCTATTTTATAAAAAAAATTAAGTTATATAAAAATTGTAAATGCAAAAAAATTACCGTATGTATTTTATAAAAAAAATTAAATTATATAAAAATTGTAAATGCAAAAAAATTACCGTATGTATTTTTTAAATCTGTTTTGTTATATATTATATATTTGATTGTCATTTATTTTTTGAGGGTTGTGCAAAAATAAAAAAACATATTGTTATTTTATTTTAATTGTTTGTTTTTTTTAAAATAATTTACCCTATAGTTATGAAAACTTTTGTAAACAAGTTTATTTTGTTGGTAAATTAAATATATCAGACAATTCTTTATCCCCTAAGCCATTAGTTATATTATACCCTTTATCTTTGTCTTTCTTACCCAAGCAATAAAATGAAAATTAATTAGCAAACAAATCAGCAAAAAATCTTATCATCCGTTGCCTGGCCCTTCTATCACATTTAATTTCAATGCGGATTTTGTGCAATACCCCCCCCCCCCACCCCTTTTCATAAGAAGTGCTTGAGTATCATCTTCATTGATGATTTAATTTCATGTTATATTACATTGTTATGTGGATTATTTTTCTGAAATTATACTTCCAAAAATGCAATGCTGATTGACATTGATGAAGAAGATAAAGATAACAATTTTGTAGCAGTAAAGACTGCTAAAAGACATTTTTTCTGTGGCTATTCAAATGCGAATACTTAATTATTTGACCGAGATAAGTTCCTCACAATTATTTGTCTTTAATGTCGATATTGGTTATTTCTTAAAACATGAACTAAACCCTAACCCATATCTTTGTTTTATTGGGACAGGCAAGTCAGCAAGTATTTTTGCTAGTTATACTAGCAGAAAAATCCTACATGATTTCGAGAATTAGCTTACCTCACGGGCTAAGATATGCCCCCATTAGGGAATAACGGCGCACCGAGGATGACAATGGAATAGTTGTGGGCGTCGATGTCTGATCGTCTAAATCAGATAAATTCAAGAATCGACTCGTTAAAATTGATATCAGGGATGGTGACTTTTACCTTGGGTATCCTTAATATTCTGGCGCAGAACAGCGTCGTCGAAGCTAATCCCCAATCAGATTAGATGGAATGCTCAAAATATTCAAGATAATATGCCCAAATTAACCAATGAGAGAATGTAGGAAAATTGAACTCCCAGACCAGAACAACCAGGTAACAAGCTTTTATCAATGAGGAGCTAACTCGTTTGGATATTCCTTTGGAAACAATCAAGATTACTCTCCTACTATGCAAATGGAATAGCTAGTACGAAGAATACGAAGACCAATAAATTCAACCCACGAGATAAAAGAGATTGGGATAGGACTATTAGAGAAATATACGATCTAAACGAAAACGATACCCTTGTTATTTTTAGAACGTGGCCAGAAATAGTAGAAAACTATATGTTGGCAACCATTTTTGGATGGTAAGCCGTCTACTCCTCAGATTCCTCCCAACAGCTCGCATTTCTAAAACCGGCGCTTAGAAAGAACGAGCTCTTTCGAACAGCCCCCAACCAATCAGGCTGCGGATGGAAGGGTTTAGGTATCCAGGCCAGCTATGCAGTTTTTACAAGACAATCTCGACCTTCGGTATTTTATAGGAGAAGCAACTCTAGGGACGATAACGCTAACAATAAGACTAGGACCAGGGAAATGGATAGGAGAAATATTAGATAATATCCCGATTTCGGAAGGTTTCTTTGGCATCCCTCCCGTGCTTTGCCAGATAACATACTATGCAGTTTTTACAAGACAATCTCGACCTTCGGTATTTTATAGGAGAAGCAACTCTAGGGACGATAACGCTAACAATAAGACTAGGACCAGGGAAATGGATAGGAGAAATATTAGATAATATCCCGATTTCGGAAGGTTTCTTTGGCATCCCTCCCGTGCTTTGCCAGATAACATACTACAGATGTTTCTGTGGGAGCTTCTCAGTCTTAATTTTTCCCTGCTAACTCAACCCCTTCCGCCAGATCCCATCACCCGTTAGCGCGAGATCTTCAAGATGGGGTCGAAGACGTAAAATTGGATCAAACGTCATGGGTAGGGTTCGATGATGATAAACTTCCACCAGCTCAACAGGTGGAGGCGGACCCAGGCCCCTTTATCATATCTAATTTTTTTCCACAGCACGCCTTCCAGACATGACATCGAGGTTCTCAGATTAATGCACAGCGGGAGTGCAGCAATGGCAAACTTATTTCGAATGATGGTCCCA